TCTGTTGGATGTGGGGTATGGGTTGTTTTTTTTTCTCTGGTTTGTGGCTTTTTGGGAATGCTAATGGCTGTCTGCTTTCCTGCCCTTGCAATATCTGTTTACCATTTTGCTGGCTCATAAGTTGGTCATTTGGCACTCGTGACCTAACCAAACAGATCAAAGGCTTTCAAAGGGTAGACTGCATGAATACTTCCATCTCCATCACCACTGCCGTTATTTTCCCTGTCTCCTCCCTTGCCTCAAAACTTAGTCTGTTTGTGTGTTTCGACAATGAAACCACCCTCTGAACCAGATCTGTGAGAGCCTAGTGGTCACCTCTGAGCTTAAGGTAACCTCTTTGCTATTTGATGAGAACTAGAGACAAAGTGGCCTTTGTTCCAAAGGTTTGTTTGTTTGTTTGTTTTATTTCAAATGTCTGTGGGCTATGACTCTTCTAATATGTTTCCCAGGGACAAGGTGAAGAATGGCTTCATGGTTTCTTTATTGACAGTGCCTTTAGACATTACAAGTTTTGGTTGTCTTCTCCACAGAAAATTAGAAGCACAGACATAAATCACTCAGCTTCTGGGATTGCTGCTCCACAGTCTCATCAAGATTTATAGGAGACAGACTATATGAGATAGTAATAAACGCATAAGGACACTTGCCACATGCCAAAATTGTTAAAGCTATTTACTTCATGAGGAAAAGTTTCTCCCTTTCTTAGAATGTATGGTGCAACACTGCTGGAATCCAGCCCCTCTTTGGGCTCACAGCTAACAATGGGACTGGGGATATACTCAATTTTTTGACTCATGAATAAAGAACAACTACCCATCATGTGTTACAAATATTGAAAGGTTATAAACACCATCACAAACCATCCTTTTCCAACAATGTGCTTGAACATGTGTTTGAAGTTAAGCATGCACTTTGATTCAGCAGGCGTGGACCAAGCCTGGATGGGAAAGGATTGGTTATGTAGCTTTGTTGTATGGCTGAGTATGCATGACATGGATTCTTGCTAAATGGAGATCTACAGCCTTGACAGATCAAGGTCTAGAATTAAATTTAGACTTATATGCTTGGCTGAATTTGCATCCTAGTAAAAGGAGTAACCAAAGTCAGGCATAGAGACAATGAGGAAAATGTACTAGACACCAACTAAAGGAACAGAAGTAGACCTCAGTTTAGGAAAGGCGTTGTTGATGTGGTATCTGCCATATACCCAGATAAAAGCGGCATAAAATTTTAATACATATCTTCTAAAATTGAAAATAAATCAGTGAGAAGTTTCTATGGTTACCTTAGCTTTTATGTAGGTTGTTGGTGAGCTGATGTTGGTCATTTATTTCAGAGTTGAATGCTTACGCTGTCAAGTAAGTTTGAGGTTCGGTTTTCATGGGATTCTGCACTGAATGGAAGTTGTACAGTGAATTGCTGATGTGCCTTCTGCAATAGGACCCTGAGTTGTTTAGAGAGAACATTAAAATGTTGGACCCTGAATGTCTGTTCTTAATCCATTTTCTCTTTTCTTCAGTTTGGGTTTACCATACAGCAAGGTATCTGGGCAATATTTGTGGCTGGAATCACACAGTAGTTAGTTTGTGCAGCAATACCAATTTTGTTTTCAAATTCCTGTATTTTTAACTGTTTATTTTCAGGGAGCCTGTGTGATGGTACAACCAGTCAGTGTTACTTGCTGCCAGTTCTGGATACTATATTTGTTCGCAGAAAGTACAGAAGAGGTGGCCTAGGGATGAAAATGCTGCATGATTTCTGTCAGTCTTTCCTGGCTGAGGATGCCTTGGGGATCAGCTGCCCTATTTCTGCTGCTATGTATCAAGGTAAACAGTTTGATGTGGAAGTGTTAGGTAAGGGTCATGTATAATGTATAAATTTCAATACGATTTAGGTACGATTTTCTGAACTGTATAGGAGTTCAATGCACCTGTCTGAACTGACCTGTTTTTAGTGTGCAGCTGGTTACTTTTTCTTGCAACATCTGGACTTCCCTGTAGAAAGGTAGGCCAGTATTTCTGTATGAGAATGAGAAGCACAAAACTCATACTGCCCGTTTGACAGTTTGCATTCTTATCTTTCTCTCTCTCCAAAACAGAACTGTCATTGCTCTAGACTGTGACTTACCCATTTTATTTGACACCAGAGGAAAAAGAATGATAAGATGTTGTCAAGCCTACACTGTGCAGATAATGCTCTTGTAGATACTGCATTTGTAAGAAATCTCTGTGTTCAGGGTGAAGTTCTGATTTTACTAGTAAAGTTCATAGAAAATATCTGTGCTCCCATTATTTGTAAAATTGTTTTCTTTAGAAAAGCATTTTTTCCTGAATTTTCTCTCTGTATGATATACAGCCTTGACCAACATTCTGGGGGAATGTTTCTTTTTCCTCATAAGTCTCAACAAAATTTAGAGTGTATCTCTTTTTTATCTTGGTCGATATGTGTCACTGAAAGTATACATATATACCTCAATGTATAGAATTGCACCCCAGGAATTTCTAAGGAATCGCCACTTCTAAATTCAGAAAGGCATAGTATTGTCAACATTCTTTCAGTTCTCCCAAGAATATCCATTTTTCCTGTGGCTTAGACATCAATAGTTCAAACACTATGGATCAGAAAGCTTCATTGCTTGTGTTAACAGTAGTGATAAATTATAGACTGTGCTTTCATCTTAGTTAAGATTGGAGCTAATAGTGAATAAATTGGACTTGTATCATGTTCTAATGACGTTTTCTAGATCCTGCTTTTATAAAAATACTAATACTGTACATTAATTTTTGAGTATATTGAAGACGCTGCCTTTTTGAGTTTTTTTTTTGAAAAACAGTGTTCTACTTTGGCAAAAGAATGCAACCTTCTATTCTAAATCTCTGTACTAAATGTACACAGCTTACCTTAGTATGTTATTTAACGTGCTATAGAGGCCTAAAAGGCAACAAAAAGCCATTTAGCGTATATCTCTATTTTGGAATATATGTTACTTTCAGCAGCTTTTATAGAAATAATTAATTTACTTTGGATATCCTTGGATAAAATGAATGACAATGATCTGCTCATTACTGTGAGGCAAATGTTTACAGATGAGAATTAGGGATTTTGTTTCAACATCTCAGTGTTAAACTCAACTGAATGTTGAAGGTAAGTGACCCATCTAGCTTCATTCTGCAGGATGATGAACCAGAATGGACAGAGGAGAGCACAAAAATACTTCTGTTGTTTCCAGGTTGCTGTCTTAGTGCAGTTGATGGAACTGATAGAATAATGATTAAGGAAAGTTTAGAAATCCCCATTAAACATTTTTAGCTGCTTGTTCTACAACATATGCCTCCTCTTGACTCTGCAGACATCCTAAGGAAGCCTCTAAATAAGACAGATTTCAGCTGGATAATATAAGCAAACTGAAGTTTAATTGTTGATCTGAATTAAATGTTCAGTGTGTACTGACAGCAAAAGGGGTCTGTGAGAATATGGTTTCTCAAGGCAATTTTAGATATGAGGAATACCTCAGTTATTCCTCTTAGTTCTTCCTATTTCCTGCTTCCCACACCCAAACAAGTGAACAAACTCCAGCAATGGAATATAGGGTAGCAGTAGGGAAAAGGAGGATGGCCCAAGAGCAAACCAGTACAAATCTGGGGTTTATAAGTAGAAATTTGAGTAGCATTCTTAATGGTTAAAGCTGGAAAATACTGAACACATTTCATTTCAGAGTAGTGAGGGTAAAAAAACCTGCACTGCTCTTAGTCTAAAACCTGCTAAGTGTCTGGAGATAGTTCTGTGATGCAGTGCCAGAAGAAGGTGTCTCAGTAAGTGATTTCAAGACCTGTATTTCTGCACTCACAAGGAAGCAATCTAGACTGAAGCAGATGGACAGGATTTGCTCATGCCTGTTAAGGTTATTCCATGTACACTTTTCCTAAAGGCCCCAGCTAAAGGAAAAAAAACCACAACAAAACAGGAAGATGAGAAGAGAGAAGAAAAGATTTCCAAAGGATCTAAAGAAAGTACGTCTGAGAAAATTTCTAGGATGTAATGCACTCCCTCTTCCACTGTACTTTTCACTCATTCATGCTTTTACCCCTTCGTTTCTCCTATTCAGTTTGCCAGAAATTCCTGCAGACTTATCCTGAGGAGCAGAAGCGACTGTGGGAGGTGGAAGCACCAGGAGATTGGAGCCAACGAGTGAATATCTGGTTAAAAATTCAAATGGAGTCATCCCCTACTGGAAGTGAGTTAAAATAAACAGTGTGAACTTGGCCATGTTAGTTATATAAAGATAAGAAAAAATGTCAAGGGTTAGGTAGTGCTAATGGATAGGTGGTTCTCTGGTTTTTGCACATGGAGAAACTACTGGATGTGCAGTCCAGTTCACTAGTCTTTTTCCAAGTAACCGGAACAATTTTTAGAAATAATGAGGTAATGAAATTGAACTACAGAGCATCTGAGAGATACTGAACAAAGCACAGTCTTGGCATGAAGTGGCTGTAACTCCCATTACAGTGCACTTACAGCAGGATAGAAGTTAGCCCAGAAACATTCCTGTTGCACAAGACAGTGTCTGGGTTATAGAGGGGGGTTTGTTTCTCTGAAATTAGTACAAAGAAGAAATTTAGTATGGCCAATGGGCAGTGTGTTTAATTACCTTCAATTTGCTGCCAGTACCATTATAGGATGGAAACACAAACATTTTAATTATGGCTTTTGAATGATTCAGAGTACTCTCCTACAGGGTAAATCTTTCTTGGTGGCAGCTTTTTCTGCCTACTTCGCAAAAGATAGCAACAGAATAGGAAAACCTTTTGACAGTATGTAAGGGGATCTTGTTGATGTAACCTGTTCAGCTGGCCTGGGGATCCAGACAGTCATTCTACTGCATGCACACAAGCTATAATAAGAATTGGGTTCCAAAAGAAGGGCACACATTGTCTCTTTCTGGAAGTGCTGTGGAGTGAATTGCTCCCATGCCTTCCCACATCTGTCCTGCTTTGTGCTGGCTTGGGGATCTTCAGTTGAGACACTGCATTTCGTCTAGTCTGCAGTGCCCCACAGGAGAGTTAAGTCAGAATTTAGCCCTAGGGTGAGTTCTTCTGAAGCCATTATAGTTATGGTCCTCGTGCTTTAAACCAACATAAACTGGTGTTGCTCTTTCATCCATCTTGCTCAGCTCATTTTACTAATGGCAATTGAAAAGAGCTACAGTCAGATGAGCAAACTGAAAGTGGATCCTTGAGAATACTATACTTTCTTTCTTCTTTTTGCTGTCTTCTACAAAAACAAAGAGAAACAACCCAAACTATAGGTAAATATAATTCCACCAGAGTGGCCGTCAGTAAAAAATACATGTGAGACCAGGGAACTGCCTTGGCCGTATCTGCACACAAATGAGATATCTCCTGTCTACAAAAAGAGGAAGGAGGGCAAGTATAAACCAGAAATGGAAGAGGGTTTACATATATTTATATGGATTTTGAATTGCAGTGTGATCTTTATAGTGGAAGGGAGCAGAAGCAAGTGAATTTGGCACTAAAATATATAATAAAAATCTGCTTTTTACATTATATTCTCCACTTTGGTGCACAGCACACTTTCCTTTACACTGAATGTGCTGAACAGGCTTTATTTCATCCATCTTCAGTGGAACATCAACCTACTATAAAATCAGTATTTAAAACAGTGTAATGCATTTATTATATCTATTTTACATATAGAATCTACTTCTGTGCTTCTTGTGCTTGTATTAGCTCAGTAGTGTGCATATAATGTACCCAGGGAAGTACCAAGGATCAGTACAGGATCAGTAACACAGAGAGGTTCCCTGATTTTGCTTTGACCTAAAGGCAGTGTTATTCTTTCCCTTGGGACAGGAGAGTAGCTCTGTTTGGTAGTTGGTGAGGAAACAACAAGAGAATTTTCTATCTGTTAGTAGTAGATAAGACAGAAATATTTTCTAAGTGCAGGAATCCTTTATCATCTGGCCTAGCATGCTGCTCACCATTTGTGCAAGGAGAAGCTTCGGTTTTTGGAGTTGTGGAATAGGCAGAGGGAGAGGAAAAGGATGTGGCATAGAATGAAAACCATAGGAGTTGTGAGCTTACCTTTTCCATATGCACGTGGTCATTTGGATCTTTAGGATGTCACTTGGGAACAAAGTGCTTCATCCCTACTTGCTCAGTTATGTAGAAAGCAAAACACAATGTAATTCAATGTTGTCAGCTCCAATCTGGATCTATGGCAACAACCACAAAAATAGACAAGTCTTATTCTGCTCTGATTTCTTACATCCCTCTTGACATTTGCAATGCTGCAAAACGGAATAGAATTATTGAGAAGAAAAATTGAAAGTTCTGCTCATATTACAGTTTTCCCCCAGTACTCAGGATTTAATCCTATTAATGTTGTTGTAAGAATTCTGCAATCATAGATGTTCCTGTAACCCTGAGGTGAGGATTTTAAATTAGGTTTATAAAAGGTTATGTGGCTGCATCTAGTGGCAGTATAGCTGAACTGCAGCTGTTTACTGAACTAATACTTCAGTTGCGATGTGCACAGGTATATAGACATTCACATATATTTCTGTCTGCATGTATACATGTATCTATAAAAATAAAGCTCTGTAGCATATTGTCACATGTAGCTGCAATTTTTAATTTTGAATTAATTTTTACTGCTTGAAAAATTTACAGAAAATAGTCTCAATAACAGGAGCATAGTGACATTTCTCCTCTGGGGCTGTTTAGAGGAACAGAAATCATTTAACATGATTTGTTCCTAGTTGCTAAATCTACCAGTCAGTGAATCGGGCTGTTTTGAAGTAGTTCAGTAATATACATAAAGCATGTAACAGTAAAGCTAATGCAAAAAATAAGCAGACTGGGCAAGAATTTGATAAGAGTATCTGCATTTTCTGAAAGAGAGAAAGAGATATGGCTTTTCTAAGTATGAGAGATTAATGGATGATTTATTCAGCAGAACTTTAAAGCTAAGAAAGGCCAAGAGACATTTTCTTTCTAGTAGAGTTTTTCACCTTAGTGTTTTGTAGTAGTGTCATTGGGCACCCTGGTTAGGTTAATTGACAAAAGCAAGGCAGAAGGGGCTGAAGGTAGCATTCAGATGGCTTTTGTTTGTTTGTTTTTTGAATAAAAATTCCCATGGAAGTCTCCTAACATTTTTTCCTTATTAATCACATTCTGGGGCACACCTATTTGCCCCATTTCTCCAGAGGCTGAAGTGGATTTTCAAACCAGTAAACCCAGACAATCAGATGCAGATCAAAGGAGTAAGGTACAGTGACTTATTTGCTATTTTATTACTTACTTTTTCATTGGTGGCCTTTTCCCTTTATAGGTAAGTCCTGAGGTTTGAATATGAGAGACCTTCATGGACAGTTATAGGTGTTTTTTATCACTGACCCATAGGTTTATGTAGGTAATCATAGCAATATAATATACGTACATATACATGTAACTAATTCATATAGTTAATTTATTTAGCTGTAGTAGTTTGAGAGGCTAAAGAGTGCAGGATAGTTTTTGCTAAATGTTTTAGTGTGATCCTTAATGAGATAAGGGAACTGTAACCAAGCTGGCACATAGTGAGTGCCAAGGTTTACACGCACAATGCTTTCTGAACTGAACTGTGTTTTTTTCCTGTGCCTGTAGAGGGACTGAGCATGACACCTTTAGAATTATTAAGCTAAGCTCTTTGCAGTCCTGATTATTTTATCCCATTACTGAGCTGCAGATCTTGCTGTGCTTAGCTTTTGCAGGGTGGAGACCTAAAGCAGGCTGAGAGGTTTGAATGAAGCCTAAACCTAGTTAGGAGTACATGGATCTGAGAAAAAAAGTTTACAGCAATGAAGCTTTTTCAAGTAATCAAGAAAAAAGAGAGATGAGTGGAAGTAAAACAAAGAGCTGTAGGGGTTGTTTCTTCAGTACGTTTTGGTTGCTAAACAATTAGATCAGTTTGTTTTCTTCAGACACAGGTCTCCTGGGGGAGCTGTGACAGCACTGGCCCCTGTGGTGCATGCTCCTGTGTTATGTCCTGTGGTCATGGCTTCAGAGCCCACCCAGCCAGATCAAGGCTCCACATACTCCCAGTTTTCTTTACGCTGACACTTCTGGGAACTGGGACAGTGTAGCACAAAGGAAGCTGTTCTGTACAAACAATGCACCTGAGATTCTTGCCTTGCATGTTTATAGTGTCCTTGGTTCACAGAGGCATTTTTTATTAGGATCAAGGCACTGTTTATGTTGCTCATGTCTAATTTGCTGTTCCCTCTCTCTTGGTTCTAATTTCAGGCTGTTGAATACATTCCTGGTGTTGGGAAAGTGGCAAGAGTTGCCACAGAAAAAAACAATGACACAGCAGCAGCAGGGACTCTGAACTCAGAGGATTCTGAAGAGAAGGACTTGGAGCAAGGTGCAGGCAATACTCAGCAATGCAAAGCAGTCAGAAAAAGAACAGGCCCTGGGGGCTCAGCTGGAGAAACGGCTGCCAAACAATTTAGAATTATTCCATAATTGCACTTTCAAAAATCAGCAAAATCTCAGTGTGGGCTTAAAAATTGTAATTGACTGTTCGTAATTTGTAAAGCTGAAGAGATTTCTTGAGGCAAGATAATTTTTTTTAGCAAGACACATCTTCTTCATTGTGTGTTTTGTTTTAAATAAAGCTTTTGTTCACTAATTGTCCTTTTCTTTTTCTTCTCACCAAGTAATTAGGTAGTAGCTGAGCCTGGTTATTTCCCTGCTCTGGAAAGATTTTATTGGATTGCGTGAGATGTCCAAAAGGGAATAATTGGAGAGCTTGTAGATACTGATGTAAGAAGATATTTCTATGGAAACCACATCCTGCATTATGGAAGAGAGATACCACAACACACATTGGTATCAGAATGACAGCTGTAACCTTCCTTTCAAAGACAACAATTGATCTTGCATTGCTTTCATTTGAGTTTTTCTAGCAGAAAAATCTGCCTCAAACCCTGTGGTGGACGGCATGACACAAACTCTATTAATGCAGAAGAAGTTTGGTATAGAGAAGAGTGAGCAACCTATAAGCCTTTAACTGCCTTTAAATTCAGGCACTGTGATCATATTATGTGTAAGTTCAGAGTGTAAAACTTTGTGTATATTACCTATTATGTGTTTTATTTCCTGTAGGCTCTTTCCTAATGTTTTGCATTTAATTAACTGAGATATATAACATTTCACTAGATTATTCATGTTATGGCTTGGTAAAGAAATTTTGTTCTTTCACCACAAGCGAGTTCTGTATTAGAAATTTTGTTTTCAGTGGGAAATTTCTAAAGCTTGAAGGCTTGTGTTAATGTGAAGTACAAGTGAAAGTTTTAAGAATCAGATCTTTAGTCCAGTGTCAGAGAAGGCTTTGCAAAGAGGTAGGCTCAGTGATGAACGGCAGTAAGGTTGATGAACCTCAATAGATCCAGCAGCCTGTAATTCTTATGTGGATGCCTTGGAACAAGGAGAGACAGATGTTTCTTTCCAGAAACTAATCCAGCATTTCCAGGGACGCAGTTCTGTAGGCAGACATGGTAGGCACACTGTAGGGATGCATATTTTTCCCTCTCTACAGGATGATTGCTCACACATAGCCCTGTCACCCTGCTTTTGTTTAAGGTCGTGATTTAGCACAGCGTTTGTTCATGTATCCAAGTAACTCCTCTCCTGTTGAGCTGCTCAGTAAAGCATATTCCTGAGACACATAAAAATCAGACCTTTCTAGGCATCTCTTAAAAAAAAAATAATTTAAAAAAATTGCTATAATTGGAATGTGCAAGTTTTTGCCAAGGGAATTAAAACACTGAGTTGTGTGCCAGCCTTAATCATGTTGCTATGGTTCTCTTGTCTCAAAGAGAATGCATTTAGGACTAACTTTATAATCAGTTGATCTTCAGGTTGTTGGTTCATCAAGTCATGCTGCTAGAAACTGTGTGTCCTCCTGTGCAGCAGCCTACATTCTTTCTTAATGTATGGTTAAATACATTTTTCCCCCCAGAATCAGTATTTTTGGAGAGTTGCAATACCGGTTGCTTCTGAATATGGTAGAAAATGACTTAGAGTTGTCCTCATGAAACTGATTCTGGAGTGGCAGTAGCCTAGCCTTATGTCTAGTTTACACACAACAGCCTCTATTATAATTGCCAAGGTAAGGAAAACTGGAGTTGTTCCAGCAAATGGGGACTATTAAGAAGTTTAATCTGTTGTAAGTCTTTCAAGAAAATTTTATCTAAGAAGGTCCCAGGAAACTCGACATGAACTTGCATTGGAATAAACAAGACAGAACAGGTAGTGTGTGTGGAATGGGCAGACAACTAATTTGATTAAATTTGTTCTGTCTCTAAGGACACTTTGAGTGAGAGGGAAACCAGCAATTTTTCAATATTCCCAAACGGGAGTTCTGTTTTACTTCTCCATTATTCTGTGATCCACTGGCTGCCCTAACAGCCACTTTGCTGGCTGTTCTCATAGAAAAATTGCTTCTTCGCTTTGTATAAGAGTTGTCTTCCTTGATTATGTTGAGCTTTGTTTTCTAAGTAACACTTTTTTCATCAAAAACATTCATGGCAGCAACTGGGCATATTACAGAAGTAAGCAAAGGTACATTTGATGAGGTGGTGTTGGCAGATGGCTTGGTGCTTTCTAATCACAGAAAGTTATCACATCATCCTTCTAATCAAAACTTGTGACAATTAGGGGTGCTCTACATTCAGTTCAGCGGCCCTGCCTGGCAAATGGAGCACACCAAGGAGAAAAAGCAGAATAAGAAAGAACTAGAGCCAGGAGTTCTGAGATCCTACTTAACAGTGCCAGACTCCTGGGCTACAGGTTGCATGAAGACACAGACTGGCTCCATATGATTTCAGAAATGCTGAATAACAGAACAATCTGAATTTGTTGCTGTTGTTTTATTAGTGCTTTTAGGTATCTGATTAATTTAGGAGCTTGGATTTGCAACTCGTTCTTGGCAGTCTGAAGCACTTCTTGGTGAGATCACAAGAATCCTGAGAGGGTCTGAAGCAGAAACAGATCCAATATCTTCACTGTCTTAATAGAACATAATAGAGAAAAAAACAACCCAACAGTGCAAACATCTTTTTCTCACAGTGGAAGTTCTTTTATTTAAAAGAAATCTGCATTCACTCAAGGGTAGGATAATTTCAGAGTGCTGGCAAAAGCTTGAAAGAACATTCCAGTTTTTGGAGTTAAGTTTTCAAAACCTTGGATTTAATCTGTCTCTGAATCTGCACTCTGGTGGCAGTGGCTTGACAAGATGGTATTTCTGCTGAGGAGACAAGGAGGTAAGTGTGTGTGTGAGAGAGGGATGGCCAGCCTGCTGAAAGGAAGTTCTTACCTATTGTTCTTACATAGACACTTACATCTGGCCTGCAAGTAAGATGTTAGACATTAACATTGGTGTTAGCAGTTCTCTGGGTGGGTGGGTGCCAACTAAATAATGTATTTGAATTGCTCTCAAAAGAAGTAAACATAAGGGTTTTAAGACGAGAAAATTCATTACGTTAATCTGTCATGATGTTTCCTATACTGTCAGCCAGACAATTTTATGTATGGTTGCTGTATCCAAAATCATTGGTTTTGGTTGAAATAACCCAATTTTTAGAAAATTTGTTTTGATTTGACAGTTTTGATTTTCAGATGTTGGGCAGTAGAAGATCTGCCTCATGCATTGGCAAGTTCTGAACTTTTGTGTTTACAAGTGCACTGAATTTTTTTAGTCTGAATTAATTTTGTTTCAGTCTCCTATGATGGATTTTGCTTTTCTATTCAATGCTGAGCTGTGGCTCTGGCCATCAAGATTCTTTCAATGTGGGGATGGACCCTGTGGTCCATCGTGACATAAGTGAACAGCACTGTTTGTTGGATCTGTGTGAGACAGATTTTCATGACTTTGGCTTATTCTGCTTGTCCTTTCAGAGAGATTTTAAATTTTTCACATTCCTCTCAGAAGCCTGAGCATCAGCACAGACACAGTTAGACTCACACGGGCCGTTCCGGGTTAGCGTTTCCTGGCTGCTGTGCCCTGTGGTTGTAAATCATCATGGGATTCTTTTGTGCTTGTGAGTGTCTTCATGGTGAACATGCACTGCAGACCTTAAACGGCAAAGGTACCTGTTTTAATGCGTTGTCCTTGCCACAATGGCTGCAACTTACTGCTGAAAATGCAGTCGATCCTGCGTCGTCTCTATTATTACCACGAGATGGCACCCTTACATTGCTCAACATGGTCAGCATCTCTAGGGTGCTTGAGACGGTGCTCACGTTTTAAATGTATCACTGGCTGGCTTGACTTCTTCAGAGAAGGGTTACCAGTTCAGAGAAAGGAAGATGAGGGTGTGGTAAAGCTTGTCTTGTGTTTACCATTCAGTCTCATTGTATCTGTGGAGTTTGAGTGGGCTCATGGCTGAGGTTTTCAAGTATTTCTGAAGATGAAGTCACAGAACAGCATGAAATGCCAACTGCACCCATATTGTGTTTTTGTCTCATCAGGAAGCCTGGGTGGGACTTTTACCTGTTGTTCTTCATTGGAGACCTTTAGTGGTGGTTCAAATCCCATTTTTGTGTCCCTTTTTAAGGGTGAAGAACGGAGGGAACAGTTTAAGCTTTATTACCTAACCTGTCCTTAACTTTTGCATATCAAGAATATGCAGAAACAGACAAAATTAAGATACTCAAATACAGTTCCTGCTTTTTCAGTTGTATTGTTCAGCTGCATAAACAAAGAATGCATCCAGCCATAGATATTTGCTATTGACTTCAGCTTAATGGAGCTAAATCCAGCTGGCAGCTGGTCACAAGTGGGGTCCCTCAGGGCTCAGTATTGGGACCACTTCTTTTTAACATCTTTATCAATGACCTCAATGAGGAGATAAAATACACCCTCAGTAAGTTTGCAGACGACACCAAATCAAGTGGGGGTGTTGATCTGTATGAGATTAGGGAGGCTCTACAAAGAGACTTGCACAGACTGGATCAATGGGCCAAGGTCAGTTGTATGAGCTTCAACAAAGCCAAGTGCCAAGTCCTGCACTTGGGCCACAAAAACCTCTTGCAACACTGTAGGCTTGGGGAAGAGTGGCTGGAAAGCTGCCCAGCAGAAAGGGACCTGGGGGTTCTGATTGATAGGTGGCTGAACATGAGAAGTGTGCCCAGGTGGCCAAGAAGACCAGTTGCATCCTGGCTTGTGTTAGAAGTAGTGTTGCAAACAGGACCAGGAAGGTGATCATCCCTCTGTACTCAGCCTTGGTGAGGCCACTGCTCGAGTACTGTGTCCAGGTTGGGCACCTCAGTACAAGAAAGACATCCAGGTGCTGGAGTGGGTGGAGACAAGGGCAATGAAGCTGGTGAAGGGCCTTGAGAACAAGTCTTTTGAGGAGCAGCTGAGGCAACGGGCTGTTTAGTCTGAAGGAAGGGAGGCTGAGGGGGGAGACCTCATTGCCCTCTGCAAGTACCTGAAAGGACATTGTAGGGAGGTAGGTGCT